AATTTTTATTAAGAAACCAATTCACCCCTCCTCTTGGTTTTTGTCCGACCACGCGAACATTCCGCTGCGCGATTCTAACACCTCTTTTTTACAGTGGCGACAATATAAAAACATTGTTCAATTGTTACAAAAATGCATGCAATTGACCTAATTTAATCTATAAATGTGAGAAAAAATAAACATGCATCAGCAGCAACCTGGATTGATGAAATTCATAGGAACAAATGGGCACTTGCATATGATGATGGTAAAAGATGGGGTCACCTAACAACCAACTTAGCTGAATTCATCAATTCAGTCCTAAAGAAAACAAGGAATCTGCAATCTCCTCCATGGTCATGGCTACATACACAAGATGCAACAATTTTTTAACAAAAAGAGGGAGACAAATCACAACAATGATTAATGTTGGTCATGTCCATTCAAAAGTTGTATCAAAGGTCTTACAAGATACTTATACAAAATCAAACACTCATAGGGTACTTGAATTCGATAGAAGCAGCACAAGATTCTTGGTGGAGGAGATCGTCAACTCAAGAGAAGTTTGACCCACTGGTAATTTTATTGTTACATCAATCCTGTTTACAAGTTGGATGTAGTAAACAAAGTGCATGACAATTTGTTTGGGGAGCTTAGATACGAAGATTATTAGTCATCACGTCAAGACCCACAACTTTGCCTCAATCTAACAACAAGAAGTTCTAAGGGTCGTCCAAAGTTAACACAAATTAGGACTGAATTGGATATCCACGAAAAAGGTCACCTAATAAAATGCTCCTATTATCAGACTCCAAGTCACACAAAAAATCATTGTCCGCATAACCCTGGCCTTAGGGGATCTACTTCGATAGATAAATTTGTTGTAGTTTTGTAGTATAACATCACAATCAATAAATAAAAAATGATTATACTCATTTGTGGTTTTGTAACTTGCATATTCATGTCTTATTAATTTAATATATAAAATATCAATTCACTTTAATTCAAATGGTATATCTTACTCAAATTATCTAATTCAAATTTCTATTCCTATGTCATTTTAACAAAATATTTATACCAAATATATTTTATATTATATCGAAATTAAATAAAATTATTTTTAGTATAAATATTTTATTTATTTACTAAACATCTTTTTATTAAATAAATACTTGAATATTATTTAAAAAATATATATTATCATATATATATATATATATATATATATATAAGAAAATATAAATATGTATTTATTAAATGTATAAATATATTTATAAAAATATGTATTATATAATATCTTTTTATTATATATAAAATATATATTTATATTTATTATATATAAAATATAAACAAATGTTTTACATATATAAATATGTATATTTATATATTTATTTACTATATATATATAAAAATTAATATAGTTATTTTGTATATAAAAAAATGTATTTATTAAATATTTAAATATATATATATATATATATATATATTATTTAATAAATTTATAATGTATATAAGAAAATATAAATATGTATTTACCTTATTTATAAAAATATATAAAAACATATTAAAATATAATAAAAATATTTATATATTTCTATTAAAGAAATATTATTTATATTTATTAAAATTATATTCAAAATATTCTTAAATAATATATATATATATATATATATATATATATATAATTTATGTTATTATTTATAGAAAGATATAAATATATATTTATTAAATTTATAAATATACATGTATTTATTATATTTATAAAAATATAAATAAATATTTAAATATTATATATATAATATTAATTGTATAATTATAAAAATTTATTTATATGATATATAAAAATTATATTTATATTTATTTGATATAATTATATAAATAAATACTTAATATATATATATATATATATATATATATATATATTTAATATTCATATTTATTAAATATTTTCGTCTGATTTAATAAATATATGCTATTGAGGTAAATTTGAAGAAGATGCTACTTATGAAATATTCCATTCAAATAGTGCTATTTGAAAAAATAGCACGAGCGAAACAATTTATCAAAATATTTATTTTTCCTTCTCACTTTCCATCCACTCAATATATTAACCAATTTCATATAACTTAAAGAAAAAAAAAGTATTATACTCATTATTACATGGACAAAATTGGAAAAGAAATTAATATTCCTTTAAAACTCAAAATATTAATTTGTAATTCTAAAAACTGACTCATTTACAAAGGATTATTTAATTTATTTGATTAAAAAGAGACTATTAGCTCCAGATTAAAATACAATTAATAATTTTTTGTTATTCAATTTATTTTATTTTGTCTCTTTATTGTTTATTTATTTTGTTTAATTTAGTCTCTCTATTAATAAAATATTTAATCAATTCTTTAAAAATTATTAATCAATTTATGAAAATTAAGAAATTCTTTAAAATTGAAAAAACAATCTTCTCTAGTAAAAATGTTTAATCAATTCCTTCATTAATTTAGTAGGTTTAAAAACAAGTTAATTGAAATTTTATTGTTATTATTATTATTATTATTATTATTATTATTATTATTATTATATTATTATTATTATTATTATTATTATTATTATTATTATTATTATTATTATTATTATTATATATAAATGTAACAATGTAACTATGTTTGTTAATTGAAATTATATTATTAGTTGCATAAAATTATAGCCATTGATTGGTTATAAATTTAAAAGGTATTCATAAATTTAAAACCTATTCGGAAGAAATGAATACTGTCGCTGAAATTACTATATTATTATTAGTTTTATAAATAGTATTTGTTACATATTAAAATCACCCTGTTAAGTGAATAAAAAAATTATTGTCATTTTATTTTTTAAAATATTATAAATGAAACTAAAATAAATTAAATAAATAAAAAGACCATCACGTAATTAAACCTGTAATTTTCCACATTGTACTATAATTAGCATAAAATGTTTCACGTCAATACATGACCATTACATCATTATCTGAACATCAAATTCTCTTTATTTAATTTATAAGCGTCACATAAAAACCACATAAGTGTATAAACTTAACCGTGGGCTAAAGAACATAAAAACAAAACACTAGCTTTATCATAAACGGAGACCTTATATCTTCCTTTTATTCTCTTTACCAACACGTATTCTGCGCATGGCTTCTCTTTGCCAATTTATCGTCCAAATCTTTCTCACCTTCAACTGATACTGCAAAACAGAAAACAACCATTATTACTTTTTTGTTTTATTTATATATTGGCCTACAAAACTAGAGATAGCCCTCATGCTATGTAGAGTCTCTATTCTTTAAAAATCAGAGTGTAAACTATAGCTTAATTACTTGATGTGCATCAGTCAAAGGACCAAGCAATTAAGAAAGGCTTAAAAAGTGATAACAAGAACAACTAAGATAGGTTTAAGCCCTCAAAACAATATTATCATCTTTTGACAAATTAAATGCAGAAGCCATCCATATCAATAAGAATTTGGATTCTCACTTGCAGTTACCATTACCAGGTGTTCTAGAAGAAAGAACCGACACATATATAATGCGCAAAGAGGCATGAAATTGAATACAATTTAATTTACCATTAGGTTTAAAAGAGAAAAACATGACACGTAACTTTTGTCGGTCATATCTGCGTATATATATTTATAGGAAACGGGTTTGGTGCATTTAATGTTGTCGTCAAATCTAACCTTATTTTCAAGTGGTATGAAAAGAAATAGAAAACGGATTATAAATGAAAATGCTAGATATGTAACAAGTAATGAATATCTCCAATTTCCGAAATCAAAATCAAAGTTCATACCTCAGTGAGTCCATATCCTTATCTGTCTTTCTCTCTTTCAATAATGTTTTTTATTTCATTCAAAGAAATGAATTGATATTCTGATACACACGAGAAGTTATGTTCAGGAATGCGCTTCATTATCTCAAAGTCAATAGAAACATACCTAGCACAGTTGGTGGAGGTGCTGATCTTGTAGGGTATGTTGACCCCACACTTCCCAGGGAGAGCCTGAGCATTGTTGGGATTGAGACCACGAACTGCGCCAGCAGCAGTCTTCAAGCAGTTGCAAACGCCGCGGCGATCAGCAGTGGTCCGGGCGCTGTTGAGGATGGTCTTCACCCCGTTGCAGCATCCTGTGGGAACAACCCCACCTTTCTGAAGGAACCCTATGCACGGTGTTAGGTCACGGTCAACATCTCCACACGTAATTCCTTGGGCAGTGTGTGCACCCGCCACCACTAAGCACAACACAACCACGCATGCAAACTTAACACCAGCCATTCTCAAAGTGGAAATTATTCTGAAGGTGAACTGATTGCTGATTGGTGAGTTTTAGGGTTAAGGTTGTGGTGTTTATATAGAGTTTGTTTTTTGGAGCGTTGAGTTGGTGGGGGTTGTGAAGAATTCAATGCTTGGCCATCTCGAGGGTCTTGGGATATGGGCTTTACTCTGCTAAGTGTTTCTGCACTGTTCTCCAGTGAGTGACACTGCACCATGCTTGAGGGTTAGTAATGTGCTATCTTTGAATGAGCGACGGCACCGAATGGAATTTTCTACCTAGTCAATGTTTGCTTGTTTGAATGGAATTTAATTTTCCATCATCTTACCCCAGGAGGGCTAGAAACATCTTCTTGTACTTTTACTACGTTTTACTGTTGATTTATCTAGTAAAATCATTTTTTATGTCTCTTCTGAAATAGATATTACTAACATATTGAGAATTGACATAAGTAGTGTGTTAAAAACAATGATACTATTAACATAATATATATGGCTTCCTTTAGGGTATAAAAATTAAGAAAAAAGAAATGAATTTCCAAATTACAATGTCCAAGGCATTAATTAGCATTTTGAATAATATAGAATACGATTCCTATTCTTCTTATTTGCGTTCAAACAGAAATATTCTAAAAATATCTATAAAATAATCTTTTTATCTCTTTCCGAAAAATTTCATATCTTAGTTATTTTTTATTTTAAATTTTTATATGCTAGATAATTTTTTATCATTTATAATATGTAATATGTAGTAAACAAATAAAAATATAAAAATTTTATTAAAAGAATTAAATTTCTTTAACTTTAGGGTAAAAAGAGAATAAAATGGATTTTTTTGAGAAGTAGTCAATAATCGTGTTCTCATTTTTATTTATTTATTTATAATTTTTAAATTTAATAATTTAATATAACAATTTATCTTAATTATTAAATTAACAAATAAATAAAATTTACATTTAAATGATATTTTATTTAATTTTATATAAAAAGATCATTTTATTCAAAATAAGTTTAAGAGATTTATTATTAATTTTATTAGAATATTAAATAAATAATAATTAAAAAATAATAATAGATCAAAATAAGATATATATATATATATATATATATATATATATATATATATATATCACTAATCTATTTTATTTATTTAATTTTTTTAAAATAGAAATATTTTAAATAAAATAAAAAATATATTTTTAAAATTTACATTATATTAATATAATAATTTTATATATATATATATATATATATATATATATATATACATACATATATATATATATATATAATTTAATAAAAATATTATTTTATAAAATAAATTCGAAATATACTAGCCTAATAACCTAATCCTATTCAGGTTACAGGGTAAATTGATTGGATGAAAAAAAGTTTTAATATTTTAAAAATCATATTCTTGATTTAATCGGTTTATAAATTAATATTTTATAAATGAATTTTAATTAAAGTGGTATTGATAAAATCAATTGAATTTTTCAATCGAACCAATTTTAGTAAAAAAAAATTATAATTTATTTTTTTAATATAATTTTTAATAATCTACATCAACTTTAAATATAATTATTTTATTATATTTTTATCTTATTTATCTATTATTTATCATATATTATCTAATATATTTTATATTTATAATATTTATTATAATTTATTTTAATCATTATAATAATTTTTATTTTTTTAAATAATGTTATCACTAATTAATTTATTATATATTTATTATATTATAAAAATATTATTTTATTAAATTTGATGGGCCCATTTAATTCCAATTAAATATATAAATTTTAAATATATGTCCTTCACTGGTATAGCGATGGATTCTATTTTAAAAAAATTAATGTTATATCATAATATTTTCTTACATAATTTAACTATTTTAAAAAAAATTGTTTATGTATCCAATTGCACCTATTTTAATAGTCTTAATTAAATTATTTTAGAAAATTTTTATTTTAATTTAATTGAAATATAATTTTTAATTAATAAATATAAATTGAGATATATTTATTCTCTATTATAAAAAGAGAATAAAAAAAATTAAATCTCAACCTTTTCTCTTAAGTTGGTGTATATAAATCTCATATGTTCAACTTGACAATATATTGTAAGAATATTTTATTTGAGACAATATTTTGTTAGGATATCGACTAATTGAATTTTTAAGCGAATAGTTGACAAATCAACAAATTTTTTCTTCTAATTTTTCCTTGATAAACACTACAAAAAAACGCTTATTATCTATCGGGTAAAATCCGTAGGTAATGACAAAAATTCGTAGGTAATGTCACTTTACCTACGGATTTCTTTCAGATAGAAAATCCGTAGGTAATTTGGTCGTAGGTAATTACCTACGGATTTATAATCCGTAGGTAATGCACTTACCTTAACAAAATATTTTATATTATATTTTTATTATTTATTATATTTTCGAAACTTTGAATTATTATTAGATTAAGGGAATTGTCATTGGCGAGGATTCGAACCAGTAACTTCGAGTTGGAGTTGATACTCCAACCACTAAGCTATTAGGTTATTTTGAAAATAATTTACAAATAAATTATATTTATATTTATCGTGTAAATATATAAATATAAAATATATATAAATATAAAATATATATAAATATAAAATATTTATAAATATAAAATATATATAAATATAAAATATTTATAAATATAAAATATATATAAATATAAAATATATATAAATATAAAATATATATAAATATAAAATATATTTATATTTTGATATATTTATATATTTATATATTTATATATTTATATATTTATATATTTATATATTTATATATTTATATATTTATATATTTATATATTTATATATTTATATATTTATATATTTATATATTTATATATTTATATATTTATATATTTATATATTTATATATTTATATATTTATATATTTATATATTTACATATTTAGATATTTACATATTTATATATTTACATATTTATATATTTATACATTTATACATTTATACATTTATAGATTTATCTATTTATATATTTATGTATTTATGTATTTATGTATTTATGTAATTATGTATTTATGTATTTATGTATTTATGTATTTATGTATTTATGTATTTATGTATTTATATATTTATGTATTTATATATTTATGTATATATTTATGTATTTATATATTTATATATTTATATATTTATATATTTATATATTTATATATTTATATATTTATATATTTAAATATTTAAATATTTATATATTTAAATATTTAAATATTTATATATTTAAATATTTAAATATTTAAATATTTATGTATTTATATATTTATTTATTTAAATATTTAAATATTTATATATTTAAATAAATATAAAATATATATAAATATAAAATATATATAAATATAAAATATATTTATATTTTGATATATTTATATATTTATATATTTATATATTTATACATTTATATATTTATACATTTATATATTTATACATTTATATATTTATACATTTATATATTTATACATTTATATATTTATACATTTATATATTTGTATTTATATATTTATATATTTATATTTATGTATTTATGTATTTATATATTTATGTATTTATATATTTATATATTTATATATTTATGTATTTATGTATTTATGTATTTATGTATTTATGTATTTATGTATTTATATATTTATGTATTTATATATTTATGTATTTATATATTTATGTATATATTTATGTATTTATATATTTATATATTTATATATTTATATATTTATATATTTATATATTTATATATTTATATATTTATATATTTATATATTTATATATTTATATATTTAAATATTTAAATATTTATATATTTATATATTTAAATATTTAAATATTTATATATTTATATATTTAAATATTTAAATATTTAAATATTTAAATATTTATATATATTATTTATTTAAATATTTAAATATTTATATATTTAAATATTTATGTATTTATATATTTATGTATTTATGTATTTATGTATTTATGTATTTATGTATTTATGTATTTATGTATTTATGTATTTATGTATTTATGTATTTGTATATTTATATATTTGTATATTTATATATTTGTATATTTATATATTTGTATATTTGTATATTTGTATATTTGTATATTTATATATTTATATATTTATATATTTATATATTTATATGTTTATATATTTATATATTTATATATTTATATATTTAGATATTTATATATTTAGATATTTATATGTTTATATATTTAGATATTTATATATTTAGATATTTATATATTTAGATATTTATATATTTAGATATTTATATATTTAGATATTTATATATTTATATATTTATATATTTATATATTTATATATTTATATATTTATATATTTATATATTTATATATTTATATATTTATATATTTATATATTTATATATTTATATATTTATATATTTATATATTTATATATTTATATATTTATATATTTATATATTTATATATTTTATATTTATATATTTATATATTTATATATTTATATATTTATATATTTATATATTTATATATTTATATATTTATATATTTATATATTTTATATTTATATATTTATATATTTATATATTTATATATTTATATATTTACACGAATTAATATAAGTATAATTTAGTTGTAAATTATTATTAGAATATCCTAATAGTTTAATGGTTGAAGTATTAGTTTTCAATTTTAAGGTACTGGGTTCGATTCTTGCTAGTGACAATTTTTTTAGTTTAATATAATTTATCTACGGATAGTAATTCGTAGGTAAATTACCTACGGATAGTAATTCAGTAGGTAATTACCTACGGATGATGTTATCTACGGAAAATATCTGTATGTAATGGATAATTACTCACGGATAGAATTCCGTAGGTAATATCCGTAGGTAATGTACACTTTACCTACGGATAGTAATTACGTAGGTAATTACCTATGGAATTATCCACGGATTACATTACCTACAGATAATATCCGTAGGTAATGGATAATTACCTACGGATAGAATTCCGTAGGTAATATCTGTAGGTAATGTACAATTTATCTACAGATTTTCATCCGTGGGTAATATCCGTAGGTAATATCCGTAGGTAATGGATAATTACCTACGGATAGAATTCCGTAGGTAATATCCGTAGGTAATGTACAATTTACCTACGGATTTTCATCAG